GCGTCACTTAACAGAGAATAACCTACTGAGTGCTGCTCAGCATGGATTCCTCAAAGCTCGATCTTGCGACACCTGTCAACTCTCTTTTTTTGACTATGTTCACCAATCTAGGGACAATGGTTCTGCACTTTACACTGTATATTTCGATTTCACTAAGGCTTTTGTTCGTGTTGACCATGCTCTTCTTCTCTTGAAACTGTCCTCTTTCGGAACAGGTGGCAAACTTTTGAATTTTATATCCTCTTACCTGGGCACTCGTACACAACGAGTTAAGATTTACAATAATATCTCCAACCCCACACGTGTGAGGAGTGGAGTCATTCAGGGTAGTGTACTCGGCCCGCTTTTATTTTGCGTTTTCGTTAATGATGTACCCGATTTATTTCAGAATGGTAGGCCTTTCATGTATGCCGATGATCTTAAAGTTGCATATCGATATAAGCCGGCAGATCGTGACATCGTGCTCGAGCTCCTTAAGAGCGATCTACGGGCTTTCGCCCAGTGGTGCCGCACATGGCGCCTTTCTCTTTCTTGGCATAAGTGCTCAGTCATGGTGGTTGGCGACGACCAGCAACCTCAACTAAATATTGAAGGTCACTCCATAAATGTGCCCAGGGTTATAAAGGATCTGGGCATATCATACTCCAAGAGTCTCAATCTCTCGGAGCACTGTGCCTTTATAGTCTCCAAAGCACGCAGAACGACCAGGTTTATCCTCCGAAGCTTTTAAACTAGGGACATCAGAATGCGCCTTTACAACATGTACGTTAGACCTGGTCTGGAATACTGTTCGGTTTTATTTAGCCTCATGCGTGCTACTGAGCGGAAGAAAATAGAATCCGTTCAACACTTTTTTACCAAGAGAATTTTAACCCCGGAACACCGACATTTATCTTACCAAGAACGTTGCCGGCTTACGGGCCTTGATCCTTTATGGTTCCGTAGATTACAAAAGGGACTATTTTTCCTATTTAAACTCTTATATAATCACACATTTAATCCACTCGCCTCTTTAAGACACCATGTTCACCCACGACGTAACAGTCATCGTGAGGTCTTTTTATTTCTTCCTCTGGCACGTACTGTTAAATATCGTCGGTTCTTTTCTGTAAATGCAATTGCTATTTGGAATAAACTACCAATGAGTGTGAAAACTCTGCAAAATTATCCTTTATTTAAGAGAACTATTACTCGATTTTTGCATTCAGAAAAGCTTCCTCAAATTTTGGGTGCTGAATCTACTGATCGACTGTGCCGTAGCGATGGCGTTTGTGGTCTCTGAACACTATGGCCGGTTTCACCAGCTGTTCCTCAACGCCTCTACTTTGACTATCTCCAACTTCATGAAAGGAATTGACGTCCGATAATCTCCGATACCGTGCAACCGCCTCCCCCCTTCTTGACGGTCGAAAATCTACCGCCAGCAGTTTTTTTTCTCCTGAACCTTCCAAACCATAAACCCACCATCAACTATATTTTTATTTCTTTACCTCAGGAGTTTTTTTCACTGCTGGTCGGATTCGTGTTTAATCGCTTCCCTTGACAATGAATGTAAACTGTCATTTAATAGTAAATTAAATTAAATTAATGTGGAAAGTCTATTGAACAAAATGGAAGAAGTTGAACTGACGGTTGTGATTGTGCGGCCTGACCCTATAGCCCTAACTGGAGCGTAATTAAATGAACAGAAAACAGATTCGGAATTCACATTGAATGGGTTTCAGCTTTTCCTCGTGGATTCAAATGAAAGTATGTATGGGGAAATCGCGGCATTCCTACGGGATGGTATGAAGTACCGCACGGATGAGCCCTTACTAAAAAAACATTGGTTACGAAATGTTTAGGTTTGAACTGAAAGTACCAAACCAGACGGACCTCCAAACTGCCCTGGTAAACAGACCCACAGGACAGCGGGAGGACATGGGCAATTCATTCAGCATTTTGATAAAGCAAGTCTGCCCAGCAAACGCGCAGTACTACGTCCATATTGTCATTCTCCATACGTGGGACGTGAATCTATGCTCTGCACGGGATTGGAAAACGCGTCAAAACAGAAACTACTTCAGTTGGTCACTTTCGAATTCCGTACTTAACACGTTACAAAGGGCACCCAAATTTAAAATATGCAGCAGTCAAGCTGCTTGGACCTCATCAATAGGAGGGAGGACAACCGCATACTTGGATTGAGTCCTAAAAGAGCACTCGGACAAAGTGACTACGGTGTTCTTGTTTGGGAGGCCAGTTATTTTCCTGCCCCAAAAATCCGAGCAGCAGGGAAAGGAATATATGACAGTGGATTATTGCAAAATGAAGGAACCGTTAAATGAGACGAACTAGAACCCTGGATATGCACCCAAACCAACGCCGGCTGGGTTTACTTTAAGAACTTGGTTCGGTTCTCGAGAGGCTCAGGGTAAATATGCGCAGCATGATTTTCAAATATGAACGATTTTTTTCAACTCCGTTTATTAATGTCTCGCGCATCTTTCCAGTTGAAATCTGGTAAAGCTTTCTCGCTTTGACCATAAGTCACTTGCGCTTACCCTTCAATTTTGTCGTCTTATCAACAAGCTGATATACTTTCATGATTTCTCCCTTTTCAGGGCCTCATTCCTGTTAAATTTTGCTCGTATAAATAAGAGGTTTTACCCGAAAAATCTTTGAAAATAATCGGATTTTTAACGATAAATCTTCCCCACTGACCGGTATTATTGACGATTTATTGTGGGAGCGCGATACGGCTATCTATTTCACCCTACATAGCCTCATTGTTAAATGCGAATTTGATTCAGTTTTATTTTTCACCCATAAAATTGTCGTCGTCTGTTTTTTTTATCGGAGCATTTTATTACTAAGCAAGCATTGAACAGGCGGCAATTCTGCTGTTTGGTCTACCAATACTGATAACTTTTCGAAATTTTTCATCGTGCCTGGCCTTATCTCCAAGTCCTCTAAGGAAGATAAAATCCCGTAAACTAGAACTACCTAAGCCTTACAGATATAATTAATAGAATTTTATCGTTCCTGAAATCATCATTCGAATTCTCAGCAGCTATCGCTCCTGAAAATCAGAAATAAATTATTGTTTTGATCAGAATATGAAAATGCGACCACTGGAGCAAAGAGCTCATTTGTCTGACATTTCGATCCCGCACTTGAGCCCATTATCAGAGACAGTCGCAAATAAAGACGGGGAAGGCACAAAGACTGCAGCATTTATAGCACGTAGCTGCTGTGGGACCACATGCTTACTATAATTAACAGTTCTCGCGATCACCTCTGACGGTCGATATTGATGCGATGATGGTTCGTCAGTCCACGTACGAGTCGTTAATCGTCGCAATTTCATCATCCGTGTAGGATGTTGGCGTGATTATTATCCGGTGGCCTCTTTGGAGCCTCTTCGCAGGCCATGCAACCAGCAGCAGCAGCAGCAGCTGTGAACAAGTAAGATCCGTTTTTTTTGTCCGTTTTTTTTTTTGCACTCAAAAACAGACGTCCACAAACCCTGAAATCATCCAATCAACTCATTTATCTGGCGCTGACCGACTGTCAGATGAGACACACGACATCCTGCCTGTCGGAGGTAAGGAATACCTCCGCGTTCACAGCGACGATGACTATCGTATTCGTCGGTTTCCGTAAAGCAGACTTTCATAGCATCTAGTGCACTCTCTCCCACATCCGCCTTACTCTGGTTGCAAGAAAAAATTAAGAGGGTCAGCCGTGAGCTAGGGCGCAGTCACCGACAAAGTTAAACGCCCTGTTTCCGTGTGCCAAGCATGACCTGGTCTCCACTGAAGATGAACCAGGCTACTGTAGTGCTTTTGAGTTTGTGCGAGCGTCGGGAAAGTTGCATTTATAAGGAGTCATCGTAACCTACACCTTATTTCTAACAAGGCCCGATTTCCCTCATTAGTCGCCAGCCTTCCATGTCACGACTGATAGCAGCGGGTCTTTATGTATTCAGCGGTGAGTTCACGTAATGGTCGTGGTGGTCGCTCACTTGCTTGCAGGTGAGACTGCGCCTAGCGTCCACTTGCTGGCACTCAACTCTCACATGTGGCTCCACGTAGCTGGACTCTGCTCAGCGGCCACACCCCGGGCAACCGCTTCGACCGGCGGGCTAAACCAGGTGAGGGGGCCGTGAGCACAGGGTTTGCGGATTCCGCTGGATGGAAGGTCGGATGGAACCTTGCGTCGGCACCGTCGTGACGTGGTTCGTCTTTGCACGCCGCTGGACAGCCGGTGACGGGATGGATCTCCACATCGACATTGCCTTGACGCGCCCACCTACGCCGTCGGAGACCGCGACTTACGGCGAATTCGAGTCGCTCTCCACTACAACCCGAAGTCGTAGTCCCATAGTGGAGTTCGGCCGTGCCACAACGGCACATGCGCAGCCCGATACAGGGACGGCACTGCCAGCCCCCACGAGGGGAAGGGCCTAGAAAAGGTGGCCTAAACATTGCTGGGTACCACGCCGTCTCCAGGCTAGCCAGGGCCGCAGACGTCTTATCATGGTCGAAACAATCAAAATCGAAACAACAACAATCCCAATAACAACAACAACCATACTCATTCTCCTCATCCTACCTCTTCTTCCTACCTATTCTTCTGCCTATTCTTCTCTTTCGTCACCTTCTTCTCCATCTCCCTCCCGTCGCCCCACTCGTTGTCACCAGACTGGCAGGGTGAGCCCGCTCACTCTGACAGCCTGGAATGTTCGTTCCCTTTTAGACAATCCGAGGAGCAACCGACCGGAACGGAGGACGGCGCCAGTGGCACGAGAACTGGCGCGCTACAATGTGGACATCGCCGCACTCAGCGAGACCCGTTTCTCCGAACAAGGCTAACTGGAAGAGGTGGGTGCTGGCTACACCTTCTTCTGGAGCGGTCGACCCAGGGCAGAGCGACGGGACGCAGGTGTCGCCTTCGCCATTCGGAATGACATCGTCGGACGACTGCCCTGTTTGTCGCAGGGCATCAACGATCGCCTGATGAGCCTCCACCTGCCTTTCTGGGGAGGCAACTTCGCCACCATCATCAGCGCCTACGCTCCGACGATGACCAACCCCGACGCCGTCAGAGACAAATTCTACGAGGACCTGCACGCCCTCTTGGCGACTGTGTCGAAGGCGGACAAGTTGATTGTCCTTGGTGACTTCAACGCCCGCGTCGGCACAGACCATACTGCCTGGGGAGGAGTGCTGGGTCCCTACGGTCTCCGCGGCTCCAACGACAATGGTCTGCTGCTTCTCCGCACCTGCGCAGAACACCGCCTCCTCCTGACGAACACGTTCTTCTGTCGGCCGGAGCGAGAGAAGGCCACCTGGAGACATCCTCGGTCGCGCCAGTGGCACCTGCTGGACTACGTCCTCGTCCGGAGGCGAGATCAGCGGGACATGCTGGTGACGAAGGCGATCGCAGGTGCTGACGAGTGGACAGACCATTGCCTCGTCATCTCGAAGATGCGTATTCGCCTACAGCCTCGCAGGAGACTACAAGGTAAGCGACTCCCAGGTAAGCTGAATGTTGCCTTGTTGTCTTTGCCCGCTCAGCATCTTCATTTCAGCAATGAGCTAGCTCAAAGGCTAGACAACCTTCCTATCGCTGCCGCCGACGACGCCGCCGCTGCCGAGAACGCCTCCGTGGAGAACCGCTGGTGTCAACTGCGAGACACGGTCCAGTCGACGGCGCTCGCCGTCCTCGGTCGCGCTCCCCGCCAACACCAGGACTGGTTCGACGACAAAGACGCCGCCATCAGAAATCTGCTAGCTGAGAAGAACCGCCTACACAAAGCCTACGTAGATCACCCCACTGATGCCACCAAAGCTGCCTTCTACCGCAGTCGCCGCCAACTTCAGCAAAGACTGCGCGAGATGCAGGACGCCTAGACTGCTCGCAAAGCTGAGGAGATTCAAGGGTAAATAAATAAATAAATAAATAAATTTTAATTTAATGCCAGTTTACAGGCATTGTCAAGGGAAGCGATTAAACACAAATCCGACCAGCAGTGAAAAAAAAACTCCTGAGCTTAAGGCATAAAAATATAGTTGATGGTGGTTTTTGTGGTTTGGAGGGCTCAGGAGAAAAAAACTGTCGGCGGTGGTAGAATATCGGCCGTCAAGAAGGGGGGAGGTTGCACGGTATCGGAGATTATCGGACGTCAAATTCCTTTCATGAAGTTGGGGATAGTCAAAGTAGAGGCGTCGAGGAACAGCTGGTGAAACCGGCCATAGTGTTCAGAGACCACAAACGCCATCGCTACGGTACAGTCGATCGGTAGATTCAGCACCCAAAATTTGTGGGAGCTTTTCTGAATGCAAAAATCGAGTAATAGTTCTCTTAAATAAAGGAAAATTTTGCAGAGTTTTCACACTCATGGGTAGTTTATTCCAAATAGCAATTGCATTTACAGAAAAGAACCGACGATATTTAACAGTACGTGCCAGAGGCAGAAATAAGAAGACCTCACGGTAACTGTTACGTCGTGGGTGGATATGATGTCTTAAAGAGGTGAGCGGGTTAAATGTGTGATTATATAAGAGTTTAAATAGGAAAAATAGTCCCTTTTGTAATCTACGGAACCATAAAGGATCAAGGCCTGTAAGCCGGCAACGTTCTTGGTAAGACAAATGTCGGTGTTCTGGGGTTAAAATTCTCTTGGTAAAAAAGTGTTGAACGGATTCTATTTTCTTCCGCTCAGTAGCACGCATGAGGCTAAATGAAAACGAACAGTATTCCAGACCAGGTCTAACGTACATGTTGTAAAGGCGCATTCTGATGTCCCTAGTTTAAAAGCTTCGGAGGATAAACCTGGTCGTTCTGCGTGCTTTGGAGACTATAAAGGCACAGTGCTCCGAGAGATTGAGACTCTTGGAGTATGATACGCCCAAATCCTTTATTACCCCTGGCACATTTATTGCGTGACCTTCAATACTTAGTTGAGGTTGGCGGTCGTCGCCAACCACCATGACTGAGCACTTATGCCAAAAAAGAGAAAGGCGCCATGTGCGGCACCACTGGGCGAAAGCCTGTAGATCGCTCTTTAGGAGCTCAAGCACGATTTCACGATCTGCCGGCTTATATCGATATGCAACTTTAAGATCATCGGCATACATGAAAGGCTTACCATTCTGAAATAAATCGGGTACATCATTAACGAAAAGGCAAAATAAAAGCGGGCCGAGTACACTACCCTGAATGACTCCACTCCTCACACGTGTGGGGTTGGAGATGGTATTGGAAATCTTAACGCGGACCGCAACGAATGGAAGAACTTCTTCTCTGCGATCAAAGCTGTCTACGGTCCGCCGACGAAGGGCACCGCTCCTCTCCTCAGCGCCGACGGCAACACTCTCCTGACTGAGAAAACGTAAATCCTGCAGCGATGGGCCGAGCATTTCCGAGGCGTCCTCAACCGCCCCTCCGTCATCTCCGACGCCGCCATCGAGCGTTTGCCGCAAGTGGAGACCAACGTGGACCTCGACCTCCCGCCATCCCTCCAGGAGACCATCAGGGCCGTGCAGCAGCTCTCCAGCGGGAAAGCACCCGGATCGGACGCGATCCCTGCTGAGGTCTACAAGCACGGAGGTCCCCAACTCATGGATCACCTGACTGCTCTCTTCCAAGAAATGTGGCGTCAAGGTGAAGTCCCGCAAGATTTCAAAGACGCAAGCATCGTGCATCTCTACAAGCGCAAAAGGGAATTGCCAAGTCTGCGACAATCACCGCGGCATCTCCCTGCTGAACATCGCCGGGAAGATCTTCGCACGAATCCTCCTCAACCGCCTCAATAACCATCTGGAACAGGGCCTTCTGCCGGAAAGCCAATGCGGCTTCCGTCGTCATCGTGGGACCACGGATATGATCTTCGCAGCCCGCCAACTTCAGGAGAAGTGCCAGGAGATGCGGACGCACCTGTACTTTACCTTCGTGGACCTGACGAAAGCCTTCGACACGGTGAATCGTGAAGGACTGTGGAAGATCATGCAGAAATTCGGCTGTCCGGAGCGATTCACCCAGATGGTGCGTCAGCTGCACGACGGTATGATGGCGCGAGTCACGGACAACGGAGCTGTCTCAAAGGCATTCACAGTGACCAATGGAGTGAAGCAGGGCTGCGTACTGGCGCCTACCCTCTTCAGTCTTATGTTCTCTGCCATGCTGATGGACGCCTACCGCGACGAACGCCCCGGGATCCGCATCGCCTACAGGACGGACGGTCACTTGCTGAATCAACGGCGGATGCACTTCCAATCGCGCGTATCCACAACCACCGTTCACGAACTCCTCTTCGCCGACGACTGCGCCCTAAACACCACCTCGGAAGAGGAGATGCAACGGAGCATGGACCTGTTCTCCGCCGCCTGCGAGAACTTCGGTCTGGCCATCAACACACAGAAGACGGTGGTGATGCACCAACCGCCACCCAACTCGGCCACAGCCCCCAACGCGCCGCCGCAAATCAGCGTGAATGGGACCCTACTGCAAGTGGTGGAGAACTTCCCTTACCTGGGCAGTACTCTCTCCCGCAACACCAAGATCGACGACGAAGTCGCCAACAGGATCTCGAAAGCCAGTCAAGCCTTCGGTCGCCTCCAAAGCACAGTTTGGAATCGCCACGGTCTTCAGCTGAGCACGAAGCTGAAGATGTACAAGGCCGTCATCCTGCCGACACTACTGTATGGAGCGGAGACTTGGACGGTGTACGCAAAGCAGGCACGTCGTCTGAACCACTTCCACCTCAGTTGTCTTCGTCGCATCCTTAAGCTAAATTGGCAGGATCGAATCCCCGACACTGATGTGCTGGAACGGACGGGAATTCTCAGCATCTACGCCATACTGAGGCAAATTCAGCTGCGCTGGAGCAGTCACCTGGTGCGCATGGACGACGAGCGACTACCCAAACGACTCTTCTACGGAGACGTCGCGACGGGTTCTCGCCGTCAAGGAGGCCAGATTCGCCGTTACAAGGATACATTGAAGTTCTCCCTGAAATGACTGCAAATAAACCCCACCAACTGGGAGGAGCTTGCACTCGATCGACCGACCTGGAGGAGGACAGTGAAGACAGGCGCTGCGATCTACGAAGCCAACCGCATCGCTGCCGCCAAAGCGAAACGTGAAGCCCGCAAATCACAACTTCGCCCAGTAAGCAACGCCGCCGCACAACCGCTTCCAACGTGTCCTCGATGTCAACGGACATTCCGGGCTCGAATCGGACTTGTTGGACATCTTCGGATTAACTGCGCCTCTCAAACGGCACCAACCATCGTCCCCCCGCCCGCCTCTTCCTCCTCCTCCTCTCCGCCGCCAACTAACCCTGACAATTCTTCTGACCCACCACTTCCATCATCCTTTTCCTTCTTCTCCTCCTCCTCCTCCTCCTCCTCCTCCTCGCCCACTGCTCCAACGGCGGGCGCTCAGGCGACCGTCCCGCGCACAACAACCGACACTACTACCACCTCACCCGACTCCAGCGATGAGGATCAGGACTACACCTGCCCTCACTGCAACCGTACCTTTACCTCACACATCGGCCTGGTCGGTCACTTGCGAATCCATCGCACAGAGCCTGGCGAACCAGTGCCTGGAGCACCCACCTATACCCACCGAGCTCGTCTCAACTGCCCACACTGTCCTCGCACTTTCAGGCACCGCATGGGCCCATTCAGCCACATGCGCATCCCCGACGACCTGCGGTAGACAACCGCCGGCCACACCACACATCCACTCACTCCCTACCTCCTCCTCCACCACCACCACCATCACCCCACCAGAAATCAACACTCACACACCTCATGCACCCAACTACCACCTCCCACGCAAGTGGGAAGTCCGCATCTCGACTCGGTCCCCATGCGGCTTCGGCTGCACGGGTGACTTGAGTCCGAGACTATCCCGACACGTCAGGCGTCGTGGATAGGAAGGTTGCTGATTGAGGCCCGCTCTGGGTTCACGCAGTTCGTCACGTTGTGTGTGTGTTGTGTGGAGTGGCGGACTGGTGGGCTGGGAACGGGCTGAAACAGCACCTTCCACGGCACTCCCACGCAAATGAGAGACACGCCGTTCAACCCCCGTTGTGTGAAATCCTGGTATTGTGTGTATGGGGGGCCAGGTCGTGCCGTGGCGCGCGCAGTCATGGTCATTCGACCATGACAGCCACCGCGCCCATTCCCCACTCCAGTCTGCTGACCGGCTCGGACAGCGGCTGGGGTGTGGGAGTGGGAAGGGAGAGTGAGGTCGACGACTCAGCGCACTTCCTCCTCACTATAAGCAATCTGACGCGCTTGAAGCTATCACGGTGCGCTAAAAGCCGTGGCTTGGAAGGTTGCCAACTGACGGGGTATCTTGGACCTCCTCCTTGACCGGAGGCGGTCTGAGAGTCAGGCTGCAATGGCTCCCTTTTAATGTGGACTTTATGGCACTCCCATCACAGTGTGGGATCCGAGCCAGGCGTTGGCGGCACGCCCAGGTGTGGCTTCGTCCGTGCCAGCCTCCAAATCTCTCTTGTGTTGGTTGAAATCCGGGTTATTTGTTGTGTGGACCAGGGGGTGTGGTGGAACGTCAAGGTGAAGATCCGTCCGAGCCATCCACCTGCGGCCTCTCTCGTCTCCAGTCTTCTTGACACTGTCTTGACACCGGGCTCGGGCGAGGGAGGAGGAGAGAGTGCATGTAAATGCTACGCAAGTCTACCGGCACTATAAACCCCTGCGTAAGTCACCGTCCCTGCTCCCATTGCTGCTGCAACTGTGGGGCACACGGTGGACATCATCGAAACCGATGGTCGAACTGTCACCCGGTAATTTGGCTGGCTGTCACCGGGGTTGCTGCTCACCCCCCCCCCCCCCTCGTGACTGATTCCACTGCTCAGGGAATGCCTCAGCATCGAATATGGTAACTGGAGGCCATTGTACAGCAGCAGATCCGGCTGCAGGCAGAACACCTACGTTCGAGGAACTAGGAGATTACTCCGGAGGCGGACGACCGATCAAACAGCAGCGGTGGGAGAAAGACACTAGCTCTCAGGTGGCGGCTCATTCCACGGGACTCGGCCATATTTTAAAGTTCTAAGAAGCCGAAATCCTCGCAAGAGGTGACGACCGCGTGACCTGCGAGCTGCTCTAGTCATAGCCTTTGGGCCTGCAATTGACCTCCCGGTGTTGTGTTCGGTGCTGAGCATTGCCTAAGCAGTGGAATCAGTCACGTGGGGGGGGGGGTGAGCAGCAACCCCGGTGACAGCGAACCAAATTGCCAGGTAATAATCACGCCAACATCCTACATGGATGATGAAATTGCGACGATTAACGACTCGTACGTGCACTAACGAGCCATCATCGCATCAATAACGACCGTCAGAGGTGATCGCGAGAGCTGTCAATTATAGTAAGCATGTGGTCCCACGGCAGCTACGGGCTATAAATGCTGCAGTCCTTGTGCCTTCCCCATCTTTATCTGCGACTATTTCTGATAATGGGCTCGAGTGTTGACTCGAAACGTCAGGCAAATGAACCTCTTGCTCCAATAATGGAGTTTTCTGCTTCCGAACCCGTCTGTTCGTCTCTATCGGCAATTTTTCTTTGTTTTTTCAACATGAGATCGCAGGCAACACTTCGTCGAAGATTGGAGGGAACCAAATTCCAGGCTTCTAGTTTGAGATCCATTGTCATTATGAAAAAACTTGGGCACTCGAAAATTTTAACAATGTTATGTCTCGTTATAGATTTTTTCTGTTCTTCGTACCCTTCTCGAAGGAAAAATGTAATCATTTACTATTATCCCCCATCAATCTTGTTGTCACTGAGACCAAAGACTGGCACAAACTACGTTTTTCTTTATTTTGAAAAATGTTCTTCAAAGTAGACAGCCATTCGATGTCGTCTTTCACTTCCTTTTCTCCCTTGAGTAGGAATCCATCTGGATAAAGGTAAAGAAGTGTAATGCACAAAACCTAGAATTCCTAGCGATTTACAGACCACTACACCTTCCGAGTACAGCTGATGAATAGCTCCTTCATGTAGTCAAGGACGTAGCTAGCCACCAGGAGGTTCTTATTGATGGGGATTTCAACGCACCTGTAATAGAGTGAGAAAATATGGTAGTTAATGGTAGGCCAACTTCCTTCAGCAATAAGCTAATGGACCTCCCACTCGATCTCCCTCTGGCGCAAAATGTGAAGGTACCAACAAGATTTTAAGAGAACCAGAGAGCGAATTGCCTGGACCTAGTTTTCACTAGACTTCTCTAATATCGACGAGGTGTATTCCTATGCACCTCTAGGGAAAAGTGACCATGCTACGCTACGATGGGATTACTCGCTCTTTTCTCAACGCCAGAAGAAAACAGAAGGCCAACCTAATATATGGAAGGAAGATTTTAACACGATGAAGGAAGAATTGATGTCCGTGAATTGGGACCGTTTGCACAGGGAGATCCGGAGGACGACTGGAGATCTTTTAAGACGATTTCACTTGATCCAATTTGGCGCTGTTGTCCATCTAAACTACAATAAACAACTAATCGACCTCCTTGGTTAACTAGGGGCCTAAATAGGCAGTTACGAAAGAAAAGCAAAGATGGAAAATATTCAGGGAAACTGCGTCACCAGCGCATTTCGAAGAATTTCGTCGTCCACGAAATGCAGTCATAAAATGTATCCGTCAGGCAAGGAAGGAATATGAATCCAAAATTATCCGACATGCTGAACAGAAACCCAAGATTTTATTTCACTATCATAACAGTAGACTGAAAAACAAGGACCCGGTCGCCGTACTGAAGGATGATAATGGTGTAGAAATCATTGAGAACAGCGGGAAAGCCGAACACTTAGGACGGTATTTTGCCTCGGTTTTTACTAGGGAAACAGAGTTTCGTAGTCTCAGTACCAGCAGTGCTGTTGAGACCGCTGGTCCCGTGATTGACGTCATATTCTTCCCGACAGCTGTTGTGGAAAGGGAGCTGCAAAATCTCAAAGAAGCAAAGTCCTCGAGTCCGGACAATATACCGGCCAAATTCTTGAAAGAATTAGCGAACGAACTCTCCAAAACACTTGCACACATCTTCCGTTTTTCATTCGAATTAGGGAGGCTGCCATGGGAATGGAAGACAGCAAATATCTTTCCGATATACAAGGGCACTAATGCTAACAATTACCGGCCTGTTAGTCTCACCTGCATCTGCTGTAAAATAATGGAAGCCATAGTTCAGAAAGCAACAATGAAGTTCCTGAAGAAGAACCACTTACTCTCAGACTTTTAGCACTGCTTCAGACAGAACCGCTCGTGCCTTTTCAGTTTATTACTCTCAACGGAGCCGTGGACTCGCGCACTGGACGAGGATGGTAGGGTGGATGTCATCTACACGGACCTCAAGAGGGCGTTCGACAGCGTCCCACACAACCGCCTAATCTACAAACTTTCTGAAATTAGGATAAGAGAAAGGCTGCTGACATGGATAACAGATTTTCTTACAGGGAGATCACAAACCGTATGCGTTAAATAAATAAATAAATAAATTTTTTATTTAATGCCAGTTTACAGACATTGTCAAGGGAAGCGATTAAACATAAATCCGACCAGCAGTGAGGCCTCGAGGTCAACTCCTACCCCCGTTCTAAGTGGTGTACCCAAGGGCTCTGTCTAAGCGCCGTTGCTATTCCTGGTTTACAGTAACGACTGCGTCGACGACCTGGGATGCAGCGCCATCATGTTTGCTGACGATGTTAAGCTGTGGAGAGCCATCAGATCCGACGCAGATAGATAGGCGTTTCAAGACAGTCTCAACCGCCTGAACAGTCGATCAGCTCGTTTGCTCCTTGATTTTAATGTGGACAAATGATTGATCCTGAGACTCCGTACCAAAAAGACCAGTAAGGAGGACGATTCCTTTTAATACGTCCTGGGTGGGCAACCTCCTTCAAATGTTCTGGAGCAGAAGGACCTCGGCGTCCTAATGGCCTCCTCGCTGAAACCATCGTCACAGTGCCGAAGGGCTTCCAAACGTACGATAAGAGTGTTCATTGCGCTGAGGCGAGGATTTGTGTTGATCGATAACGAGCTGTTCGGAAAAACCTATGGGGCATTCGTTCGGTCTCACTTCGAGTATGTAGTCCAGGCCTGGCAATCGTGGTTGAGGAAGGATTATCAACAACTTGTAAGTGTGCACCGGATGACTACGAAGACGGTCAAGAACCTTGATCATCTGTCTTACGAAACCAGACTGACTGAACTATATCTGTTTCCTCTCAATTACAGGCAATTGCGCGGCTATTTCATTTAAACCTACCAGATTATCAGAGGTCGTGAGCGTGTCCTAGACTTTGACGAATTCTTCGAATTGGCCGGGACTGACCGTCTGTGTGGTCATCCCTTTTAACTGCAGAGGAAGCTGGCCCATACGGACGTCCGACGGAACGCCTTCTCGCAGAGGGTCATTAGAGCATGGAACGGACTCCTTGATGCGGTGGTTCTTTCCGAAACTGTTGGGTCCTTTAAGTGCAGACTAGGCACTCATTTCCTGAGAAACTACTGTTCGTCTAATCACGATTGTGTTAATGACGGCAGTTTGCGCCTGGCTCACACTTGTCGCTAACTTTTGAATTTCCCTATTCGCTGATGTAATTATTGATTCTATTTCTGTTTATCGATATGAATAGGGGGCTCAAGGGCGAAAGCCTCATTCCCTTAATTAATTGACTTAAACTGTCT